CGAACAATTATTTCATGTGGCCGAATGTAGAAGGTTGAGTTCCGTGCGCTGAAATGGCCCGAGAGGAATTTCTCTACAATAAAATAACAAAAAAAAAGTCCTATTTATATGTTTCGAATTTAATAAAATAGATTATTGTCTTGGCCCGAGTGATGTCATTTTATTGCTCTTTGCGACGAAGAAGACAACTTAATTGAATTTTTATTCTCGCGTAGCACGGTATGTGTGTTTTGTAATACGAAAGCAAAAAGTTCGCATTGCGTTCTCAGTTATAAGCTTGTTATAATAGCAACAATCTACGATTAATTTTTCATTGCCATCAACGCCAACATCAAAAACTTGGCCTCAGTAAGTAATGCACAACAAACAGACCTGTTTGCATTGCAGCTTGGAAGTAATACGTAATATTATTTCAATACATATATAGAGTAGTTGAGGATTTCGAAGGTCAAGGGATAATAATAAGATGCGCGGAATTCTTATTAATTAAATAATTAACACAAGTAAGAAACAAAACATTTGCCGTGTCACGACCACCTTCCAAAATCAGTAAGGCGAGCGACCTTCGTGCAGGTTTCTCGCCGATTGTCTCCTTTTGCGTTTAGCCGCGCTTGGTTTTTTCGGCTTTTGGCGCGATCAACGTTTTCACCATATTTGGCGAAAATTGTGTCGTACGGCAAATGTTTCGTTTCTTAATAGATTCAATTGCAAGCGTTGCATGCAATGCTTTGCAAGGTGAGGAGAGGCATGATCAATGAACCAGCAAAATTCTATGTTTTTAAACCTAATTTTCTGGGAAGGAATTTTTTGTTTTCATTGGGTAGTAAATTTCAAAAAAATTTTTTTTTATTTTTCTGAAATCAATCTACATGATTCTTTATTCTTTTTCTTTCTTTGATGATCAAATAAATAAATATCTTTTTCCAACCAAAGAGAATTGTTTAATAAGAATAGATTTGTTATTTTACATTTTAAGAGCTATTTAATCATTCTTATTAATATTGAATTTTTACAATTTTTTATATATAACACGATTGATTAAATATGTAGATGTAACACAATCATAAAAAAATTTATTATTATTTTTCAACTTTAACGTTTAATTAAGGTAGGTGATGGAAGCATTCCTAGTGAAGAACAACTTCAACAACACATAAATTCTTAACTTCCTAATCCACTAAGATAATTTTTTAAGTAATAATTTTATATATTTATTTATTCCTAATTAATTTAATAATTTGTCATATGATTATGATTATTAATCTGGCTTTTAACAAAACGTTTTATTTACCAAATAAAAAGTTTAGCTCAGGTCTTCTTGATCCATTTACAGATTTAAGTATAATGCATCAAAAGGAATCAATATAATTAAGAAATGATGTAACACTTTTATATAGGGATACGAAATTCTATACAAAATTTAATTCAAAAAAACTTAATTATTCTAATTATTCTCATTTTGAATGAATACAGAAAATAACTGTTTTTGATGCATTGGCTAAATCTAACTTGTTTTCCTTCTCAAGCTTTTCATGTCAATCCTTTAATAATTCTCATCAATTATCACTCTTTCAAACTCCTCTTCATATTCATCCTCAAGGAGGTTTAAATCTAAGAAATGTGGGTTACTTTCCTCATAATTGATGAGATATTTAATGTTTCATTCCTTATGTCTTTTGTATAGTTATTTCAAATCTATTGAGATTTAGTGCTCTATCATGGCTTCCCTATCTTTTATATAAGCATCTCTTTGCCATGTGTAATTAACCCGCATGAGTTTAGCTTACTGTGAGATCATGTCTGAGTCTCAAAGATGATTATTAATTTATTTTATGCCAATAATGTAAATACAATTTCTCCCGATTTATTTATGCAACAATTTCTGTGAATGTATATTTATACTTTACTCTCAAAACTATCTTTCACTATCGATTCCTTGCTAAACAATACTAAACAATATCTTCTTTAGATTTCACACTATATCCTGATCACGTTTCTTGGTGGGTGCCCTTCTTAGCTGTTACTCCATACTCAATCAGGTATGTTTCCCAAAACTATTAAATAAAATTCATTA